ACTCTGCATTCTTCCAAGGATTAATGGCGAAGAGAAAAATATATATCCATATATCATTTGGGAAACTAACAGGAATACGCTACAATGAGAAACACCACTCTGCATGTGTTCCGAAAATTAATATCGAAGACAGAGAAAATTTGGATTTGTATTCTATACTAGAAGGAATTGAAACCATGGTAGGCATGTTCGATAAATAAACGAAACTCAAAAAATAAGAAAAAATGTTTGTGTGAAAGCATGGATTAAACATGGGCTCTGTATCTAAGTTCTGGTTAGACAATTTTAGAAAATATATGCTATTTCATATACCTATTGAAATACATAAGCGGAGCATTTTTAATGCTCATAAATGCCCATGGGACTCGCGTTCCAGATAGGTGAGATATAAAATTTCCTTCGTGTTTGTTGTTTTGACCAAATTTCAAATCGAATATTCCCTCTGCAGCGCTAGATTTTACAGCGCGAAATGACACTGCAAAAACCGGTGCGACCGCTGTTTGCGGCATTTTCGGTGTTTTTTTAAATATTGACTAAATATTGGCGACCGGTATTTCTCGGAAAACGCTAATGCGGCTTGAAAGCTCAGTAGTTTTTTATCTGGTGCAGAATTTCGAACATAACGAAGAGCCGGGATTTTCAAGTCGCTATCGATAAAGAAGGACTTGCTTTATTTTGCGAGGACACATTATTTTATTTTGAGGACAAAATCGGTCTGCCCAGAAACCAAAAGTTTTACCATTCTAAAGAAGTACAAATCATCCCACTGACAGTTCGGATTTCCAGATCACAGAGATGTTCTTTGACATTTCTAAGTACACAGGTATTTGTATACTTGCAGACTTCGTTCATGCCGCAGATAACGAATTTCTGCGAATACTTGAAAACCTAGAATTTGGAGGAGTCAGAAGTAGTTATGTTGGGTCAGTGGTAGGCTGTGGCATGTGGGGTACCTCAAGTCTCAGTCTGCTTCATTTTAGTTGTACATAAATTACTAATTCCGGTTCCTATTGCAAATTGACCGTTTTGTCGACGGCACCGCAGTATCTTATGGCAAATTTGATTGGGAAACGCTCGAACGAAATATTGAATATTGAAAATATGAAATACCTTGTTTTTGCCATTCACTTCTACAAACCTCGCGGATGAATTATTCTACAAGGAATTAATGATTTTGGAATTTAAAACAGTAAAAATAATAATAGTGACTTCCTTAAGACAGCCCAACAAAAAGAAAAGGTGGTCGAATATTCTGTATTAGAAACCAAACATTGCCAACGACAATTAACAAAAAGGTTTGAATATGTGGTACAACTCTGCTATGATAAGAATTAAGAGCGGTTGTATCTCGACAATTACAAGCCCTACAAATGTGTAAAAAAACCTATAAGTCAAATGGACAAAAGAAAAAGCTGAAGCTTGAAAGCTTGAAGATGATTCGACCGCTGCGCGGCGCAACTGTAAAGAAACTTACGGTTTATTAAATATGTTTGGTATAAAACATTGTAATTTTAAAGTATGTGATAAAGTGTGACAGATTTTTCCAAAATTTATAATAATAATATATTATATAATAATAATAATAATAATAATAATAATAATAAATAATAATACAAGGGTGGCGACATTCGCAATTTGCGCTCTTCCATGTCACCACAAGAACAATAGCACCAACCCAATAATTGTCAAGAAAATACACACCTGTATATACATCGTAAATACAAGAAGTAGACGTACATCATAAACTCATACGCTTTTGCTAGATACTGGAGGACCTAATAAACAATATTAGAGCTTTTTTGAAGGACTTTATTGCGGGGAGGGACGATATAGCATAAGATAGTTCATTAAATAATTTCAATGCGTTATTGGAGTTTAGTAAAAAAACAAAATTGGCTAACTGAACTTTATATCGGTCCCCCAGCTTAAGCCAACCCTAATCAGAGAGGTACTGCGAAATATGGTCATACTTTCTGAGATTGTAACTAAAACAAATACAAGCTTACTGAAGTAGTTGAATTATTACACCCTTCTGAAGAAGGAGAGATAATCCCATCATTGAGCGTAATCTTAAAAGAGGCGTTTTTTACAATATCTTCCCGTTTATTTCCAAATAATAACATCTGCGTTTTATTAGTATTCAAGAAAAGGTTCTGAGCCGCAGATACCTCCGAATTTATTTTCAAATCTAAATTTTTTTTAGTAGCGGCATTTAAAGCTTCACTAGCAACAAAAGATAAATATAACAGTATCATCGGCGTGCTGATGATATCTACAAAATTTGAGAAGTAAGAATTTAAGAACTATATCGTGACAAATAAGTTCGATGTAGGACTGGCTTAAAAAAGCATTCAAAAAGCCTTCGAAGAAATTTATTCGGACAGATCTGCGGCGTTTGATTCCGAATAGTAACAATAACAATTAGTAACAAACTAAAACCAACACCTCAGATAAATATGGCTGATGAAGAACAGCTAAGAGTTGAAACACTTTTTCCACATTAATATGATCGCAAGCTATTTCGAGGCCAGGCCGTTGCAGATAGTCAAAAACCAAAAAACGAAACGACTACGGATAAATAATCCAAGATGCTAAAGCCTAAAGACTCTGGATAAAAAGAGACCATGGACTTCTACCTGACAGACACCGGACCTAATATAACGGACATAGTTATTTTAAGTCTGTGTGACATGCTGAAAGGAAAATAAATACTGACCAAGAAACGCGAAGAACAGCCTGAGCATAAGGCGTGCTAATTAACATTATAAAAATACTCTCTTTCCAAAAGCTTCCACCAAACTCACTATAAAGATAATTTGGTCGGTAGACATATTTCAAGAGGCAACGAAGCCCACATATACGTGTCAAAAAACAGACGTTTTAAAAATTTTTATTACCTTTTTAGAAGGGACCTCATTTTTTTCCTTAGAGTCAACTACAGTACAGTTGGGAACAAACGAATAGTTCAATACTCGTACTTTTACTAGCAAATTAATCATTATTATCAAAAATTATGGAGTCCCATTTTTTAGAAGAAACCCTTAAGTAAATTTGAAACGTATGGTTTCAACATGATGGTTGTCTGGCCAAATCTACAAGAAACATACGTAATTCGTTTTGAACCAGTGATAAGTTTGAGTGTCCTTAATTTTGTTAAAAATGTCACAGGTTAATTAAGCACGCTGCGCTCCGCTCGTGCGAAATGAAACTCGTGCTTAAAATGGTGTTTAACAAACTTGTTACATAATAAGTAAGTAAAATTCAGCTTGGCAGTCCACATTTAGCTAATTTTAACTGATTCACTCAAATCTGCAATCTATTATGTTATTAAAAATACACGCCCTAGAAACGCAATAAACACAGTAGTCATAGAAAATCTTTTCTCAAGACAAAATGACCAAAATTGCCCTTATACCGTTTGCAACATTTTGAACCCTGGCTTCATTTTAAAACGAATCGTGCGCAATCATTCGCCATAAATCAAAACCACCGACAAAGATAAAAAATTTGTACCCTGTGTCACATTTCGGCAAAGGTCTTGTGGCACCTGTAGCCAACATTTACATAAATGTCTCGCGATATTTATGGGGAGGAATCGACCCCATTGTTCTTTATATTCGACTCTTAAGCCATTTCAGATTTTCGCATCCCGAATTTTGAATGTTATGGGATACAATTTGGTACTTTGCCTCCCGAATAAAAGCTCTAATACTTTTCGCGAATGACCGGTTGACCCGAAGCTGTAGAATAACGTTTTTATTTATTCAGTTAAACTTCAACCCTATATTGGCTTTTTACCAGAATCCAAGCTTTTAATGGAGTTTCTTTAAAATGGATGGTTTATAGGGTTGTAATTTATACTTTCAAATGAGGCTAAAATTTTAAATTTATGAATATGAATGAAATAACATGATAATAAATAATTCATGTGTCTCTTAAATTGTGCAAAAACTGTGTCATGTAGCGGTCTTATAAATTCCAGTCGATTAACAATCTATGCAAGAATCTAAACCTTAAGTTCACGATCTATGACCTCTAAATATTTGGAGAAAAATTAAAGAAATTCATTATGAAATGATTTTTTTCTGATAATAAAATTGTGTTAATGATTTTTTCTAGTAATTTCCGCACACCGTTAGTTTTCTCAATTTATCTCTAAGTTTTATGATTTCTTACAAGTTCTGAGATAAGGTGTCGTCCCATAATAAACGGGCTCAACAATTTTATAATAAATTTGGTAGATAAAATAAATTAAATAACCAGAACAAAAAACAAAAAATGCAATTGGTAAAATATACCCGTTCGTTTTGTCACTTTATCTTTAGTTTATCTTAAGTGTTTTTGATTTTTTATATTAATTTTTTCTTATTTATTATTATTATTATTATATTATTTTATTATTTTATTATAAACGGGCTGAACAGTTTTATAGTATATTTCAAGGGGTCGTTGTTGGATCGACAACAAATTATCCGCAAAATTATTTATTCAAAAATTATAATACTCTTATTACGGTTTTAATGAAGTACTTTTATATTCTGTTACGTTAACTCATTAAATCAAGGATTTACAGTCCGGGTAAAATGCACAAAAACAACAGTTTTATATTAAGGACAAATGCAACAAAGTTCCCTAATGTCAAAAAAATCCTAAGCTTTAATTAATGTGTTAAATGCTAAATTAAAATGATCACAATTGATGAAGTCATTTTAAACTTATCATAAAAAAACTATATAGCTCCCTATACTGGGCTCAAATGTCGAGTTAAGCGATTAACAATTGAGTGCACGTTTAAGTTGATTATAGAGATTGTAGTGTTCAATTTGTATGTGAAATCTCCTTCTAGTAAATTAACTATTATTGGCAGTGCTTCTGGTTTTGCTGCCGATTTGATTCATATGAATGTTCATATTTATATATAATTTGATTCAATTGTTTTTAGGATTTTAAAACACCAATTATTGGCTGACCAATTTAAATAGCAAAATTTTTGATTTCAGGAATCCAAATGAACAACCTGAAGGGGATCATGGAAATCGCCAAGAAAGAGCCAGATTTAAAAACGTGGAATGGACAGCATACGAGGCTGTTCATAAAAAATATTTGAATTTAGGTAAGTAGTTTATAATGTATTTATTATAATTTTACTGGGTTTTCTGTTCAATAATAATAGTAATATTTTAAGAAGCGTGGTACTAATGAAGTTAACTTTCCTTATAGGAAGGTCAAGTTAATTACAAACAGTAATTACTTGACAATTACTTGAAAATTTTAAAACAAGCAAAACTCATGGACACAATTTCACAAAAAAAAAAACTGTATCGACTTGTTTATTTAAATCTTTTAACTCATCGGAAAATTATAAAAACATTTCGTGTAGCTAAGTTTCATCGATGACATAGTTACTTTTTATAATACTTCTGGATTTCTCGTGCGTCGGTTTTTGTTGAGTCGAACTAGCTAACGTTTCGCCGATCATCCTGTTGGTTTCTTCAGAGCTTGAAACTTATTGTTTGAGGGGGGCGGAGCTAAGTGAGGAGCATAAACACCGTCTTTAATGACTCATTCCCATATTGGTCACAGGTCGCGACCTGGGTAGCCGTTAAGATTTTTAGGTTGCTTATAGATTTCTATAGACTCTCGGATTTTTAGTTGGTAGAATGCAAGAATTTTTTGTTTTATGGAATAAAATTGTATGTTCTGTTTCGTCATTATGTTCAACAACTGCTGATGAGTTTGTTTATTTGTCTTAGTCTTAAGGCTCTTTCATGTTATTTGAGTCTAGTTGATATTCTTTGTCGCATATGCGTGGAATGCCCGAAACTCGTGGCATCGCAAATGGAATTTTGTCTTTGATGGATCGAAGATGTTGAGAGATTTTTGGACAAGTGGTAAATCTGGTTTTGACGTTATATTTCTTCAGAAATTTTATTATGTGGTCATTGATTTTTTGAATATAAGGAAAGACAACAGTAACAAGTGTGGGATTGCTTTCGGTTTCATTGCCATTGGAAGATTGTGGTGAATATCTTTAATGTGGACATTATTAGAGAGAAGAGCACAGGTAAGGTGTATAGTTAATTATATTTTTCTCCTCCCTTCTCTAAAATACCCAATTTTGCGTCTATTTAGCGTACGAAACGTCAAGTTTGTTAACTGCGACAATGAGACACTTCTAATATTTCCTGTACTAGTATAGGGTTTGGAGTTGCATTTTTTCTATAGATTTTAGTTACCGGTGGTGACAGGCGACGGTTCGCACTTATAACGGTTACGTAACACGTCATCAAACCCGTGACTAAAGTAGCGTTTATCAAACTTGTTGGAAATATACTATGACATTATTATCAGACGACATAGTCAGTGTTTACTTAAACTATACTTCATTGGAGGTGAGAAAAAAAATGTTTAAGTATAATTGCAAGTAAACTTTAAAGCATAAAATGTGTACGAACAGAAATTCGAAGAATAATTAAATAGCGATACTTGTTTTATAATTTCTGTAACTGAATATTTGTAAATTTTGTAGCTAAAGTCCTTTCGAATTTTGTTGGTTAACACAATTGCTAATGCAGTTTCATTAAAACAAAACCATTAAAATGAAACTGCCAAAAATCATTTTTTTAATTAGGTCACCTAATTTTATATTGTTTTAGTTTAGAACTACAAATCAGGGTTACTCTGTGTAATATTCTCTTTGGAAGTTATAGTTCGCGATATGTGCGTAAAATAACTGACTGGCACTGACCTCGCCGCGACGGTAGGAAGAGAGTCACTAATATTCAATTCTCCAGTTTTTTTAAGTTTTCCAATAATATAATATTCAAGTTGATTCTTCTCAACTTATGAATCTTCATAACAGATCGGCACAAGATGTGGATAATAGATACCTAATACATACTGAGGAACAATTGTACCTTATTTTTCAGATGCTCAGAGGTCGGCTTGCTTATGTCTCAAACTATTATTAATCCAAAAACAATCTCAACGCAGGATTTTCTTATAATAAAATTTTTTGTAGTTTCGTCAAACATTGCGAACATTGTGCTGTTGTTACACGATTAAAAATAAATTAATAATAAAATAAAAGGCAATTTGAAAAAATACAAATGATATATAAATATAAATTAAGAGCAAATTTTTAGTCACACTGATACAGAGTTAAATAAGGGAAAGATCGAATTTACCGACAGAGGATCTTTATCGAATTATTAACGTTAAAATCTTCAGAGTTATATTTGAATTAGTTCTGTTCGTGTAAGCACGTTTTAAAGCGAAACTTTATAGCGGCTAGGCGAAGTCGTGGGTGGAATACAGATCCGGGGGCTTAAAGTTCACGGTTTTACGGGTTTTCATTTTGTCTCTTAAGCAAGCAATTTCTAATATCGATAGTTTGGTAATGTTTCTGTTATTGCTAGTTACAGCTAATAGGAATTAAATTTTAAATGCGATCAACTTAATAGCTTTCCCTAAAGACGACCTCTCTTTTACACCTGTTTAGTATTTGGTGGCAAAATTTTCAATAAAGGCACGTATTTGACCTCGCTTTTATTTAGTGGGCGAGTCGCAAGACTGCGGCAACGAAATTAAACAAAACGCGGTCTATCGGGCTTGATTTATGTATATCTGGCGGTCTGGAAGAAACTCCTGGCATAGCCGGGACTGCTTCCGCAGGAAATTGAAAATAACCTGCTGGGAGCATTGAAAAGAAAGGTGTGATGAATCGTCCTGTCCGAAAAGATCAATAGAAAACTTGGAACGTTACTTCAATACTCAGGATGGCTTAGAAAAAGATTTTTAGCTATTTGATGTCCTAAAAGAACACTGATAGCGTTTAGATGAAATTCTTGTATGATGTAAAGCGCAAAGTCAACTGCATGGATATATTATTTTATCAGAAATGTTAAATGGAAAACACTACACAGCAAAGAAACAATGCACACAAAACTGTGCCACAAATATTATTCGTCCATTATTCATACATTGGAATGGAAAGAAATAGAGCTAAACTTTTCGTGTGTCCGCCGTGATCTAGCGCTACACTAATATTATATGCCATTCAAGACTGCTTCACATAGAACTGTTATGATTCTTCTCAATATCATAAAAATCAAATTTAATTGCCAAAAGGATTAGAGAAAGTGTAAGGAAATTGAAAATAACCTGCTGGCAGCATTGAAAAGAAAAGTGTGATGAATGGTCCTGTCCAAAAAGATCAATAGAAAACTTGGAAAGTTACTTCAATACTCAGGATGGCTTAGAAAAGATTTTTAGCTATTTAATGGCCCAATAGAACACTGATACCGTTTAGATCAAATTCTTGTATGATGTAAAGCGCAAAGTCAACTGCGTGGATATATTATTTTATCACAAATGTTAAATGGGAAACACTACACGGCAACAAAACAATGCACACAAAACTGTGCCACATACCGAAAAATATTATTCGTCTATTATTCATACATAGGAATAGAAAGAAATAGAGCTAAACTTTCCCACGGGGATTTTTGTGTGTCCGCCATGATCTAGCGCTATACCAATATTATATGATATTCAAGACTGCTTCACATAAAACTGTTATGATTCTTCTCAATATCATAAAAATCAAATTTAATTGCCAAAAGGATTAGAGAAAGTGTAAGGGAAGCAATATCAACATTATTCACTAAGAGGCGTGAAAGTCAGAGTACTTTTATTTTTCTTTATTCGTTTTGGTTTGTTTATCTGTATTTTGGAATAAATGTCCTATTATTTTTTTATTATTTTACGAATAAAGAAAAATTCACCAAGTTTATACGGAATCAGTATCCAAATCTTTGAGGAGTGGAACATACAATGGTTTCACAATGGCATTCAGTAAAACTAAATTTTATGTAATAAAAAGAATCAGTGAAATTTTCTTGCGAAGATTTCAAAGTCAAAGTCAAACTATTAAGCCCGGTACATTTCAATGGGCGTTCGTTAAAAGTTGTAGAGGTTAGAAAAAATTTTTTTTTTGTTTCAGGAGACTTTACGTATTATGTTATTGTGTACTGCTCATATCTCAGGAACCGTTAGTCCTACAACCTACAAAAAAAAATAATTATAGGTAAATCGGTCAAAAGAAAATGTTGGAAATTATTTTCAGGTTAATAAAATGGTTGCCAAAAAAAAGTTATTCAACTTTTTCTTAAGCAATATTTGACCCTTCCCCCACCATTAATTTGAAGAGAGAAAAAAGTACTTCAAACAAAACAGTTTCCTTATCTATCTATAAGGTTGTTCGGAAAGTCATTTCGTTTTTTCCCGTCACAGGACTTAATTACGTTTTTTCGAAACCAACTTCACACTTAAGCCGCATAACCATTATATGTCTTGAGAGCTGATATTGCAAGGCTTGTGTGTGAAAAAGTCCTATTAATTCTACGCAGTAATTTTTGGTTGGTGCCCTTTTAAATATGGAGAGCAATAAGCAGCATTTTCGTCATATTTTACTTTTTTACTTCAGAAAAGGTAAAAATGCTGTCCAAGCGAGAAAAAAATTGACGGATGTGTATGGAGAAGGCGTATTAACAGTACGCCAGTGCCAGAACTGGTTTGCAAAATTTCGATCCGGCAATTTTGATGTCGAAGATGCACCACGGTCTGGAAGGCCGGTCGAAGCTGACAAAGATGCGATAAAGGCATTAGTTGATGCAAATCGGCGAATAACCACACGAGAGATCGGTGAGAGATTAAATTTGTCGAATTCGACTGTTTATGGCCATTTGAAAGGCATGGGCTTAACCTCGAAGCTCGATGTGTCGGTGCCCCATGTCCTTACGGAGCGAAATTTGTGTCGTCGCGTTGACGTGTGTGATTCGCTCCTCAAACGTCAAGAAAATGATCCATTTTTGAAGCGGACGAAAAATGGGTTGTATACAACGATGTTAAACGCAAGAGGTCATGGAGCGGAAAAGATGAACCGGCTCAAAGCGTGTCAAAAGCCAAAAAAAGGTGATGCCCTCCGTTTGGTGGGATGTCAAAGGAATCGTTTTTTTTTTGAGCTTTTGCCGGACAATACAACGATTAATTCAGAAGTCTATTGTCATCAACTGGACAAATTGAATGATTCACTTAAAGAGAAGAGGCCCG